ATTTAAATTATAAAATAAGATTAAATATTTTTATTAATATTTTTTTTTTTAAAGTATTAAATTTAATAATTTATTTAATATGCTGATTTATATAAATAATAGAGATAATAAATCATTCTATAAATAAAATTAATTAAAGAATTATTTATATTAAATAAATAAAATTTATTTATTAAATTTAATATTTCTATAACTATTCTTATATTTAATAAAACTATTTATAAAAGAATTTTATATAATTTATATATGAAATTAGTATAAATAATTATATTTAATAAGAAGATAATAAAATAAAGATTTATTAGTAAAAATTTAGCTATTACTACTATTAATAAAAATTCATTATTAATGAAAATTCTATTATTACATTAATAATAAAGATTCTTTTATTATATTATTTATAAAAGTTGTTATTGAAAAAAATTTATTATTATTATTATTATTTCTATTAATAAAATATTTATAAATTTAAATAAATTAACACTAAATTTTTAAAAAAAAAAAATAATAAAATATTAATAAATCTCTAATATATAAAAATCTAATTAAAATTACTTTTAAAGATAATCGCTTAAATAAAGATATTTAAATAATATTAAATAAGTATAAGATTGTTAAAGAATATTAAAAATCAAAAGTTCTAACAAATATTATATTAATAATAAAATAGAGCATAATATCACTTTATATAAAAATACAGATAATAAATAGAGAAATAATAAGAACAATAACATATATTACCTAATATTTTAGGGGTAAGAATCACTAAAGGATATTAAAAAATCTTAGGTCATACATATATTTGGATATCACGTAACAAATTGTAGTTTAGATATATATTTAATTTTTATTAGCATATACATAAATATGCATGATTACTATTATATAAATGTATTATCATTTATTATCTGATATATATCCCCTTAAATATATTTCATTACAAAGAGGTCACTTTTGTTATGAAGGAAAAAGAGAAAAATCATCAAAAGTTCTTAAGAAATTCTTTTAGATTATTTATGACTAGCAAAATACATTATTCGTTTGTGATTCGTTAAATAAGTAAAAGTTAAAAAATATTATTACACTCAGAATAGTAAAGATATAAATAGATTGTTTAATTAAAGAATGGATAATGTGAATCATATCTGAAAATTTAAGAGATCATAATATTTAATAAGGTGTATAGGATTTATAAAATATCTATCTTTAGCTTTTATGATTGAAGATAAAAAACTATTATTTAACTGAAAAAAATTCATAGCTTCTTTTACATAAGGTGGTTCATAACAGCTTATATTTATATATCTTTCAAAGAAATATTGATAAAAGTTACAATAGTTTTCATCCATAACTATGATATAAAATATTTTAATAAGTCCTTCTCATTTTCTTGTTATTTCTTTTTTTCGTATTTCTACTTTTTCTTTATTTATATCTTTAAATAAATTAGCAAACTCTTCAATATACTGTACATTTACACTTTTTTTTAAAATCAAATTGTGACTTCAAATTTCATAAAGTGTCTCTCTAGCATATCAAAAGTTTTAAAAAACCAATTCTAGATTAATCACTTTATTCTATATATTTAGATGCATTCCAAAATAATCAATTAGTAGTATAATACCTGTCAATTTTTCAGATAGTGTTACCATTTTTATTTTAATAAGATTATATTTGGATTATCCTGAAGTATGTGTTTATGTAATTAGGTAATCTAATTAAAATTTTCTAAAAAATTGATAATATGTTTTAATATTCTTTAGAAGTCTTAGATTTTCATCCAGTTCTCTATCTACTAATAATATCCAAATAGGTCTAATTTTCCTATTGGCTTTCAATATATAATCTTATTAAGGATCTAGAATGAGACTTATATATATATAAGTAAAAAAGTTTCAAAGGACTATTGATGACATATAAAAATAGCAAATTATTTTATTCTTAATTCATTATTTAATTCATTTGATTTGATTATAAGGTAAACTAATAGAATTAACTTTTATTTATATCTTGTAAGAAAATCGTGATCAATTATAAGAATAAGCTTATAAACTGATTGTAATGTGTAAAATGTTCAATATATGGTAAGCACTTCAAGATATATAGGGCAGTTAATAGAAAAGGAAGAAATCTACAAATTTTAAGTAATTTTAGTTATTAAGCTAGTTTTATTCATATGATCATAATCAATAGAGTAAACCAATAAAAAATTTTTGACTAAAAAATGAATTTTCTCTTTTTTACTGATCATCTCCTATATCTTTACCTTATCATCTTAAGAAATAACAACAAATTTATCAATAAAGATAGTGACAAATTACCTTATGCATTTAACAGATACAAGATAATAATACCTATTAGAATAATTCTGTGTTTTAATATGTAAAACTTTAGCTACTATAATCTATGTCAAATGATGATGTATTCTTGCAGAAATGGAATTAAATTAATAAGATAGCAGGTAATTATTTAATATTGTTCGCATTATTTAGATATTATAATAATTTATTTTCTTCATTTTTTATTAGCTACTTTAAATTAATCAAGTCATAAATATGATTATATAAATTTAAATGCTTAAAAAGAAGTAAAGGATGACTAGATCTATCATATTATATCACTTCTTGATTTCAATAAGTACTTTCTTTTTTTTTCTTTACATTTTTAAGTATAATTTATATTCCTTTATAATTTTATAATGCTTTTCCTTTTAGATTCAATTTCAATTTAAAGGCTTTCTATTTTTATATACATATTATAACAAAGTTAAAGATCTATGATGATTTGTAAATTTAATTAAGTTCACTAAGTTTTTCTTTAGTTTTTTTATCTCATTTGCTATATTTTTTTGAGCTAATGTATTAGCAGAATTTCTAATACAAAATTTATTAGATGAATAATCAGAAAAATAGGAATTTGATCTTCTCTAGATATATATAACCCCAGTTTCATTGTTTATATATCATATAAATTATGTGACATAATCAAGTAATTTTTAATTATATTATCGATTTCTGATTCACCTTTACCTTTAATTTTATTTTACTCTTTTGCTGCTTTATAATAAATATTAGTAGGTTAACTAAAAATGTTTAACAGTTTATTTAACACTAAAGATAGAATAATGATGCATTTATTTTATGAAAAAATGAAAACATTATAAAACTTTACAAATTAAATACCTTGTAAATTAGTATGATCATACATAATTTCATGAAATCTTAATCAAAATATCGAGATATATAGAGGGCCGCCAAAAGTCTCTGAACACTTTTTGGCTCATTAAAAAACTTAAAATTTTATAATATGAATAAAAAAAGTTTATTAATATCTTTATTAAAATAAGATATTCGCTAAGTTTTGTATTAAGTAATTAATACTTAATTGGGCTTCCCTTTGCTTTAATCACAGCTTGAATTTATTGTGGCATACTATCGACTAAATTTTTGATAGTTTGTATTAGAATTTTTCTTCATATCTTATTAACATGTTATTTGAGTTCAGCAATATTGGAAGGCATTTTTTTCCTTTCACAAATGCTTTTCTTAACATTTGCCCATAGGTTTTCAATCAGATTGAGGTCTGGACTTTGAGCTGACCAAGAAAGTTTACATAAGCTATTTTTTGTGTGAAATTTCTTCACAACTTTCGATGTGTGTGGACGAGCATTATTCTCCTAGAACCAACTATCACTATTTGGAAATACACGCCTCATAGTTCGCATAACAAACCTTTGAAGAATAGTAACATGTGAGATACCAGTTGCTGTTTCAAATAATAGAACAATAGGTCCTACACCTTGTCTCGAAAAGCATTCCCAAAACATTCGACTTGGGCTATACTTTACTATTGCAGAAATACAAGAAATGTAGTATTCTTCACTAAGTTCTCGCCAAATTCTACTGCATAGAGATTGTTGAAATTGAAAAAAGGTCAACTTGTCACTTCACAGAACTTTTAACCAATTGTCCTTTGTCTAACTTTGATGTTCTAAGCATTATGCAAAACGTGCTTCTATATTTACTAATGAGATTAGAGGCTTGCGTTGAGTAATACGATTATTTAATCTAACTGCACAAAGTGTACAGCTAATAGTGCGAGTTGAAATAACTTGGCCAGTCTTTTTATTCCAGAATTGTTGAATTTCTGGAGTACATAAGCAATGGTTTTTTCCATTATTATTGGTTACAAATTTCTTAAGCCAGTATTATTGTAAAGGTCCAAGAAGGGATGGTCAGCTAGAGCGAGGCCTCAAATTAGTTATTCTAGTGTCATCCATTCTTTTCAAAGTATCAATACTGTTAACACATCACATCTGACTATCGTATTAATAGTTCAGTAACTATCACCACGTTGACAGCAAAAAAATATAGCACCGCGTTGTTCTGCAGTTAATTCTTTAGATATTATTTAAGTATTTTTGGGATTAAAGTTTATTTTGATTCAAAATCAAAATAAACAAACTGGACACGCATTTATTATGTTTGATTCATGTAAACAAGGTCTGAAACATCATATGATCGCAGTATTATTAAGTCACATGATGTTAACGGCATGAAATCACACTTAAAAAATGGTGTTCAGAGACTTTTAGCGGCTCTCTGTAAATTGATGATTAATATCAATTTAGATAGAATTTTAGAATACAAATTTTTAGAATACTTTGATGTTTAAAATACTTAAAAATCTTAATTTAAATAATCTTTATTAATGTAAAATAAACTACTTAATTTTACAATAAAATTTTAATTTATTAACTTTAAACATCATAATAAAAAAATTTAATATCATTAATATTATATATAAGCTAAAAAAATTAATGCATTTTAGATTTGATGTTATTAGATTAAAATGTATTAAGCTCTTAATTTAAGTCAAAAATTTCTCAGAACTTGATTTTTCTAGAAACTCTCCTATATGTTATATTACAGTTACTTGTGTGTATAATAAGTTCTATTTAACATCTTAATAAAGAAAATAAAATCAAATTGTAAGATGAAATGAAAAGTGTATTAGAAAATATTGAGAATGAAAATAAGTATAATAATGATAACTTCAGAGAAGATAATGACGAGATAGATCTCAGAGAAGATAATGATAATATAGTTCTCAGAGAAAATAATGATGATATAAATTTCAGAGAGGATAATGATAATAGTATTAGTGAAAAAGATATAATTGGAATAGATGAAGATCATTACGCAGAGAATAATAATAATAACAATTGCAAAAGTGATAATGATGATAACATATATGAAAAAGATTCAATAATTGATACAATGAATATCAACTAGATGTCAAATATAAATAAAGATGCTTCTTACTTTGAAAATTTGACTTCTGTATTATTATTTTGCTAAATACAGAAACACAATATTTGTAAGTTCAATTTTTACTATAATAAATGTATTTAATAATCTACTAAATGATCTATTATATATCTCCTGTAATAACGAACGTATATAACAATTTTGTAGATAATATATTATAAATCTAGCTTTTAATGCAAATAACGTTGTAAAAAATATAAGAAGATTTTAGCAATATACAGAGGGTCACCAAAAGTCTCCGAACACTTTTTGGGATAACATAAAACTCAAAATTTAAAGTTAAAACTGA